TTATTCATCCTCACGTCCATCCATCCTCCTCTAACAACAGACAGAGAAACTCTCATCCTTCACCGAGACAAAGAAAAAGTTCAACTTCAGACTCTGAGAGTTTACAGAGAAATCTGATCTAATCTAATCTAATCTAATCTAATCTAATCTAATCTATAATCTGATCTAATCTTTAAAAGTCAGATCATAACGATACAGCTCTTCTTCTTCTTCTCCTCCCTTTCTAAAGTTGTTTCCTCTCTCAGAGACACTTCTCTGTTCCTCAGATGACCATCTGTGCTTTTTTAGGTCTCCTCTCTTCTTCTTCTCTGATTTCAGGATTTTTCTTTAAATCTCAGACTAAAACAAACATGCAGATTGAGAGTGGAGGACACTGAAATAAAGGATAAAAAAATAAAATATAGCCTAAAGTACTAAAGTTTAAACTTTGATCCAGATTTCAGATCTGATTGTTCTTTACAAATGTACAAACACATTCTTCTTCTCCAGCTGTGAACACCAGGACTCACTTTAGTTTCACGGTCTTTGGATTTTTTAATCCTCCCACTGCAGATTATTTAGTTCTACATAACCTTTTATACTTTTATATTTTCATACTTTTATACTTTATATATTTCTTTCATGCTCTTGTTAGTTTTTATTCCAGTATTTTATATTTCTCTCTGTTTGTTGTTGCACCATCACACCAAAACAAATTCCTACTCTGTGAATCCTGTTCATCGATAATGACAATAAAACCCCTTCAGGTTCTGATTCTGGTTCTGATTCAGATTCTGGTTCTGATTCTGAGATGTTTTTCGATCTTTGTGACGACAGATTTTTTTTCCTTTTTTCCTGTAATTTGTCAAAAACCTTCATTTAAACAGAAAAACTGAGTTTTATGTTGATGTTTTTGAGGATATTGATGAAGTTCAGAGACTAAAAACCACAAAAATAAACGTGTTTTTTTAAAGTGACGGGCCTTTTTACTACTGACGTAAATAAATCAGAGTTTTGGTCAAAGTCATAAATGTGAGGAGAGTCAGAGTCACGGGTTCGACCTCCTGCAGAAACAGAAAAGAATCAAGGAGGACCGGGATCAGAGCCCTGAGGGACGCCCCGGTCCGACACCGAGTCTCTCCTCAGGATGTTGGGGAGTTGGACCCAGAGAGGACGACCCCGGGTCTGAACCCGGGTCCACAGCGAGTCCTCAGACTGATGGGTTCCCCTCATCAAGTCTGCGTTTTTGTTCGTCCTTTCAGCGATAAAGCGTGCAGCGTGAGCGCATACAGGCCGATTTTCTTCAAGTGTTTTTTAAAGACATCTTTATGAGACAGCCATACCATTTTCCATCCATTATTCCATTTATCCAGTCTGAGACCTGCAGAGTCTTTCTCTGCTTTATTCTGCAGGGGGGTGGGCTGGGGCTGGGGGGGTCATTTATAAATAATTACACAATGTTTAGAGTCTTCAGGCATGTATAATATATCAAAGCGATTAGAAGGTGAATTGTTCCATTGTGGCCGTCCGCCCTGCGCTCCTTTTCACTCCTCTCCTGGTTTGTCCCCGGTCCAAATTCAGCTCCTCGGGCCTTTTGTGCTGCTTTCTTTCTGCCTCAGCCACTCTATTGGACTCATTCTCATTCAAATGGAGCTCAGCAGGAACAAAACCAAACCCAGGCTGCACACAAATCATCTCTGCCCCGGCTGCAGGGCCGGCACAAGCCTGTGTGAGGCCCCGACAACAGGCCGACAAATCCCTGATCCTGCTGCACGCTCACGGGACGACCACCGCAAAAACAACAACAACAACTCGCCGATTATACAAAACACCACGCACAACTCTGAGTCCGCACACAAAGACTTAACAAACAGAGAAAAAAACACACAAAGTTTCAGACACGAACGAAAAGCCTCCGAGATTTTTCACCGTTCAAAGAAGTTCAAGGAAGAAAGACGAGAAACAACGAGTCAGAGGAAAAAGTTCAAAAAAGACTGAAGACCGGACCTGAAGAGACAAAAATAAGGACAGAAGGGAGGAAAAGAAAAAGACAAAAAAAAGAAAGAATAAAAGAAAAGGAAACAAAAGAGAAGAAGAAGGAAAGGAAAAATAAAGTAAAAAGAACGACAAAGTGAAGAAGAAATAAGAGAACGAAACTAAGAGAGAGTAGAAAAACAGAAAAGAGAAAGAAAAAAGAAAGAATGAAAGACAGTGGTGAACAAAAAAGAGAGAGAAAGAAAGAAATAAAGGAAAGAGAGAGAAAGAAAGAAGAAAAGGAAACAAAAGAGAAGAAGAACGAAAGGAAAAATAAAGTAAAAGGAACGACAAAGTAAAGAAAAAATAAGACTAGAAAAGAGAAAGAAAAAAGAAAGAATTAAAGACGGTACAGAACAAAAATGAGAGAGAAACAAAGAAATAAAGGAAAGAGAGAGAAAGAAAGAAGAAAAGGAAAAACAGAATGAACAAAAACAGAAAAAAGGAAAAAATCCAGAAAAAAAGAAAGAAAACAGAAACGATAAAAAGAGAGAAAGAAAGAAAAACATGTTTCTGTTCCTCAAAACTGTGTGTGTGTGTGTGTGTGTGTGTGTGTGTGTGTGTGTGTGTGTGTGTGTGTGTGTGTGTGTGTGTGAATGCATGATGTGGGAGGAGAGGCAGTTACAGAAACAGTAGAAGAAGAAGTTGGAGGCAGGTTGTAGTTTTACGGCCTCCGTCACTTCAAAGTGATCCAACAGCTTGTCTCTGAGTGTAAACACTTTACAGCTGCGCTCCTATTGGCTGAGAGCTGACGGGGCGCGTGGGTGGCACAGCGGACATTTACACTATACTGCCGGAGTGTGTGAGGGACGAGTGTGTGTGTGTGTGTGTGTGTGTGTGTGAGATACATTTATTTGTGACCTTTCAACTTTGTTTCCACTGTTCTGTTCACTGACTGGATTCACTTCCTCTGTATGTGTTTGTGTTTTTGTGTTTTTGTTCTACGTCACAAATTAAGAAAAGATAGATAGATAGAGAGAGAGAGAGAGAGAGAGAGAGAGAGAGAGAGAGAAAGAGAGAGAGAGAGAGAGCAGAGTGAGAGGTCTGAGGTCTGTCCGGGGTGAAGTTCTGACAGGATTAAGTCTCAGCGACACGAGATGAGATTGAATTTCAATGAAGTGAAACACGTGAGAAAATGAGTCTGAATGAAATGAACCAAAGGACCCACACACTCACACTCACACACACACTCACACACACTTAGACTCACAAACAATCACACACTGAAGAGAGAAAAAGAGGTTGGAGGACTCTTGAGGGAAAATAGGAAACAAAAACAAGAGATGGAGGTGAAGGAGAGAAACTTTGAGTCAATTCAGACCGAGTTCAGAGAGCTGTAATCCTGTAACACTACACTACACAACAGTGAACAACACTACACAACACTACACTACACTACACTACACTACACAACACTACACTACACTGAACAACACTACACTACACAACAGTGAACAACACTACACAATACTGAAAAACACAACACAACACAACACTACACTACACTACACAACACTGAACAACACTACACTACACAACACTACACAACACTACACAATACTGAACAACACAACACTGAAAAACACAACACTACACTACACAACACTACACAACACTACACAACACTACACTACACAACACTACACTACACTACACTACACTACACTACACTACACTACACAACACTGAACAACACAACACTACACAACACTACACTGAACTACACAACACAACACTGAACAACACAACACTACACTACACAACACTACACAACACTACACAACACTACACAACACTACACAATACTGAACAACACAACACTACACTACACTACACAACACTACACAACACTACACAACACTACACAACACTACACAACACTGAACAACACAACACTACACAACACTACACAACACTGAACTACACAACACTACACAACACTGAACAACACTACACTACACAACACTACACAACACTGAACAACACAACACAACACTACACAACACTACACTACACTACACAACACTGAACTACACAACACTACACAACACTGAAAAACACAACACTACACTACACAACACTACACAACACTGAACAACACAACACTACACTACACTGAACAACACTGAACAACACTACACTACACAACACTGAACTACACAACACTACACAACACTACACAACACTGAACAACACAACACTACACAACACTACACTACACTACACAACACTACACAACACTACACTACACTGAACAACACAACACTACACAACACTACACTACACTACACAACACAACACAACACTACACAACACTACACTACACTACACAACACAACACTTCACAACACTACACAACACTACACAACACAACACTGAACTACACAACACTACACAACACTGAACAACACTGAACAACACAACACTGAACTACACTACACTACACAACACCCCCCCCCTCTGTCAGCTCTTCCAGCAGAGCGATCATGTCGGAGCAGACGAAGTCACTTCAGCTGTTCTCCTGAAAACTCTGAGATGTTCTGAACTCTCTCCTGACTTTGCTCAGACCTTTTCCTGTTGGTCCTCAGAGACCGTTTCTGCAGGACTCTGTGTGGGTCCAGGTGAATGTGACGAGGACTCAGGGTGGGTCCAGGTGAATGTGACGAGGACTCAGGGTGGGTCCAGGTGAATGTGACGAGGACTCAGGGTGGGTCAGGACGGCTGAAGTTTGAAGAGAACTTCTCTCCATGAAAAGTGACTTCTCATCAGATGAGCGTGTGAGACGACATCAGCGTCCAAGTTCTCCGTCACTAAAGAGAAAACTGCAGGTGAAGGCTCTCAGGTGTGTGACATGGAGGTTTGATGGTCGGGTCATGTGACTGAGAGCAGAACCATCACACTGAGCGGTAAACACAGACAACAGAAACACACTACGAACGGAGAACACCATCCACCTGTAGGGGGCGCTGAGTGGAGCTGTATCTGAATGAAAGTCATGCTGATGTTGGTTCAGCTCATAAACTCCATCAGTGATATAATAAATACTAATAATACTAATACTACTACTGCTACTACTACTACTACTACTACGACTACTACTACTACTACTACTACTAATAATAATAATAATGATTATATTCCAATAACAATGAAAATAAAAATAAAAAAATAATAAAATATTATAATTTAAAAGAATAAAATAATGACTAAATAGTAATAAAAATAATAGATTTTAAAAAATAAACAATAATAATAATGATTATATTACAATAACAATGAAAATAATAATAATAATAATAGTAATAATAATAATAATAATAATAATAATTATGATGATAATAATAATGATAAATCGTGTCTGTAGTAGTGTCTGTAGTAGTGTCTGTAGTAGTGTCTGTAGTAGTGTCTGTAGTAGTGTCTGTAGTGTCTGTAGTAGTGTCTGTAGTAGTGTCTGTAGTAGTGTCTGTAACGTCACCCGTTTGTTGGTGAAACAGACCTCTGATCAGCGGCGGTCGCCGTATTGAAAACGCTGACTCGAGCTAACTTCCTGTGACTTTATCGGAGGCGGGCCTTCAGCTACAATACCTGTCAGTCAAGTCAGCCGTACTTCTGATTCGCTGATCCGGTCACCTCAGTATCTCTGTAGGTTGGTGCTGTGAGAGCGCTCAGACTTTAATGACGCCGATGTTCGCCCATAAAGACCTTCAGCCTCTAGTGGTCACTGAGGGAACTGCAGTTTTCAGAAGGCTGTATTCTGACATCAGACCGGTCTACGGCTCAAAGCGGGACCTGTCCTGGTTCAGAGCCTACATGATGGGTTGGTGTCTTTTCAGGTGCTGTGTGTTCTGGCCGTGGCGTTGCCGTGACGACAGATAAACCCCGTCCACACTGTCCCTTTGTGGACGCTAATGTTGGGTAAACTGGAGGTAAATTATCACCCTGAGCAAACACGCGCAGACAAGTGAAAGGGAAGCTGCTGCTCCCAGAATGCATCAGCAGATTAATGGAGGAGGGGGGGCGGCGGGTGGAGGCCACACGGCGGCGAAGGCGGCGGCATTCAGGAGGCTGATTGACGGTGAAGTTCCTTCAGATTAAAACCTTCCTGAACAACAAGACGACTGTGAGGAGACAGGAAGAGATTCATAACCAGAGACAGAGGAGACAAAGAGGAGCAGGAGGAGGAGGAGGAGGCGCGCTGGGGGGAGACGTGGGGCCTCCCTCTGTCCACTGAGGAGGGGAGGAGAGAGGAGGAGGAGGAGAGAAAGAGAAGGAAGGAGAAAAAGTTAGAAGGGAAGGTGGAGAGAGAAGTAAAAGAGGAGGTGATGGAGAGGAGGAGAGAGGAGGTAGAGCTAAGAGTAAAGGGGAGATGGAGAGGAGGAGAAAGGATGGAGGTAGAGAAGAAGAGGAAGATAGGTTAGGAGAAGAGGAGGAGATAAGGAGATGAAGAAAGAAGGGGGGAGTAAGCGAGGAGACAGAAAGGAAAGATAGGAAGGCAGTAAGGAGAGGGGTAAGAGGGGAAAGAAGGAAGTGAGGAAAGGAAAGAGGAGAGGAGAGGTAGGAAACAAACAGGAAGAGGAGAGGAGGAATGAGGGAGAACAAGAAAAACAAGGAGGAGAAAGATAGAGACAAAAGGAGAGGAAGGGAGAAGGAAATGAGGAGAGAAGGTGGAGTAGGGAGGAAAGGAGATGAGGAAAGACGGAGGAGAGGAAATGGAAGGAGGAGAAGAGAGGAAAGGAGATGAGGAAAGGAAAGGAGGACAAAGCAGCAAAACTTTAAGTCTAATGAAGCTGTTGTCTGGGGGGGGTCTGAATGTTTAGGAGGTGCAGCTCGTCCTCCTCCTCCTCCTCCTCCTCTCCATATGTCTGCTCTATTAGCATCTGAAAGGGGGGGGGGGGGGGTCCACATGATCGGGTCTGGGGGGGCAGAGAAAGTCCAAAAACCACTTTACCAAGGAGACTGAGGAGGAGAGGAAGGAGAGAAGGAGAGGAAAGAGGGGAGGAGATAAAGGAGAGGAGGAGAGGAAAGAGAGGAGGAGAGGAAGGAGAGAAGGAGTAGGAGGAGAGGAAAGAGAGGAGGGAGAGGAAGGAGAGAGAAGGAGTAGGAGGAGAGGAAAGAGAGGAGGAGATAAAGGAGAGGAGGAGAGGAAAGAGAGGAGGAGAGGAAGGAGAGAAGGAGAGGAAAGAGGGGAGGAGATAAAGGAGAGGAGGAGAGGAAAGAGAGGAGAGGGAGGAGAGAAGGAAGATGAAGGAGAGGAAAGAGAGGAGGAGAGGAAGGAGAGAAGGAGTAGGAGGAGAGGAAAGAGAGGAGGAGATGAAGGAGAGGGGGGAGAAAGGAGGAGGTAGATCAGAGCGTCTGAGCTGAAGATGTTGGTGTTGATGATGAGAACAGGTTCTCAGGTTCTCAGGTTCTGATTTCAGACTCTGGACTGGGTTAGTCTGTCTGAGGAGGACCTTCAGTCCTCTTCAGGTCTGAGAACCTTCAGGTCTGAGGACTTCAAAATCCTGAACGATAAATGAAGAGAAAGAAGAAAAGTCATGATGAAGAACAGCTGAGGGAGCATGAGGACTGAGCAGGTCTTCTCTGAGGAGGGGTCCTCCTCAGAGAAGACCTGCTCACATGGAGGTCTGCAGATGTTTCAGAGGAGGATGGAGGTGGGCATGAAGACCATGAGGTCTTTCTCTAAACTGTCTTCATGTTTCAGATGGTGGACTCTGAAGACCTCAGGGTCTTCTTCTTCTAGGGTTCTTCTTCTTCTTCTCAGGTTCTTCCTCTTCTTCTCAGGTTCTGCTCAGATCTGGGTTCAGAGGACCCTGCGGAGGAACGCTCGCTCTCCCTGAGGATGGAGATGATGATGAAGAAGGGGGCGGGGTCTGACACTGACAGCGGGGTCGTGACCTGATGACTCCTCGCAGACATCTGTAGCTGCTGCAGATTCCCCGACATCTCCACCGACCAATCAGAGCCCTGCAAGAATATCTGACCTGCAGCCCCGAGGCCACGCCCCCTCTGACACCCCCATACAGGGTCTCATCAGCATGCATGGCTGCGGCCGCCGGGGGGGTCAGCTGATGTATGGCTGCGTCTTTGTTCCTGCGACGCTCCGAGACACTGAAGAAGAAGAAAACAGAGCGGCGGCGGCGAGCAGGAGGAACTTCCTCTCACATAAATTCACTCTGAAACAGCCCTGCGCCTCCCTGATTCACCTCCCCCACCGTCTCCCCCACGGCCTCCCCCACGACCTCCCCTCCTGCTGGAGCTGAAACTCCTCAACAGACCCTTTTTAAAGATCTGAGAAGAAAGATCCACAGAGAGAAGGAGAGGAGGAGAGGAGGAGAGGGGGAGAGGGGGAGAGGGGGAGAGGAGGAGGAGAGAGGAGGAGGAGAGGAGAGAGGAGAGGAGAGAGGAGGAGAGGAGGAGAGAGAGGAGAGAGAGGAAAGAGAGGAGGAGAGGAGAGAGGAGGAGAGGAGGAGAGAGAGGAGAGAGAGGAAAGAGAGAAGGAGAGGAGAGAGGAGGAGAGGAGGAAAGAGAGGAGGAGAGGAGGAGAGGGGGAGAGGAGGAGAGAGAGGAGAGAGGAGGAGGAGAGGAGAGAGAGGAAAGAGAGGAGGAGAGGAGAGGAGGAGGAAAGAGAGGAGAGGAGAGGAGGAGAGGAGGAGAGGGGGAGAGGAGGAGGAGAGAGGAGGAGGAGAGGAGAGAGGAGAGAGGAGAGGAGGAGGAGGAGAGGAGAGAGGAGAGGAGGAGAAAGGAGGAGAGAGAGGAAAGAGAGGAGGAGGAAAGACAGGAGGAGAGGAAAGAGAGGAGGAGAGGAGAGGAGAGGAGGAGAGGAGGAGAGGAGGAGAGGAGGAGAGGGGGAGAGGAGAAAGGAGGAGAGAGGAGGAGGAGAGGAGAGAGGAGAGAGGAGAGGAGGAGAGGAGAGAGGAGAGGAGGAGAGGAGGAGAGAGAGGAAAGAGAGGAGGAGAGGAGAGGAGGAGAGAAGGAGAGGAGGAGAGGAGAGGAGGAGAGGAGGAGAGAGGAGGAGGAGAGGAGAGGGGAGAGGAGGATAGAGAGGAGAGGAGGAGGAGGAGAGAGAGAGAGAGAGGAGAGGAGAGGAGGAGAGGAGGAGGAGAGGAGAGAGGGAGAGGAAAGAGAGGAGGAGAGGAGAGGAGGAGAGAGAGGAGGAGAGAAGGAGAGGAGGAGAGGGGAGAGGGGGAGAGGAGAAAGGAGGAGAGAGGAGGAGGAGAGGAGAGAGGGAGAGAGGAGAGGAGGAGAGGAGAGAGGAGAGGAGGAGAAAGGAGGAGAGAGAGGAAAGAGAGGAGGAGAGGAGAGGAGGAGAGAAGGAGAGGAGGAGAGGAGGAGAGAGGAGGAGGAGAGGAGAGGGGAGAGGAGGATAGAGAGGAGAGGAGGAGGAGAGGAGAGAGAGAGAGGAGAGGAGAGGAGGAGAGGAGGAGGAGAGGAGAGAGGGAGAGGAAAGAGAGGAGGAGAGGAGAGGAGGAGAGAGAGGAGGAGAGAAGGAGAGGAGGAGAGGAGAGGAGGAGAAAGGAGGAGGAGAGGAGAGGAGAGGAGGAGAAAGGAGGAGAGAGGAGGAGGAGAGGAGAGAGAGGAAAGAGAGGAAAGAGAGGAGGAGAGAAGGAGAGGAGAAGAGAGAGGGAGAGGAGAGAGGAGGGAGGGAGGGAGAGAGGAGAGGAGAGGAGGAGAGGAGGAGAGAGGAGGAGAGAAGGAGAGGAGGAGAGAGGAGGAGAGAGAGGAGGAGAGAGCGGAGGAGGAGAGAGAGGAGAGGGAGGAGAGTAGAGAGGAGGAGAAGAGAGAGAGAGAGGAGAGGAGAGAGGAGAGGAGAGAGGAGAGGAGAGAGGAGGAGGAGAGGAGAGAGAGGAGAGGAGAGGAGAGGAGAGAGGAAAGTCTGTGGAGAAACACCTGAGGAGGAACATGTGAGAGACTCAGGCCCGAACTACACGAAGGCGGATATTTATTTATCTGGATATTTTTGTTCTCCCGTCTAAATAAATGTACCTGTCCACACGTGTTAGATCAAAAAAATATCTGCGTCCACACGTAGGCTTCAAACTCAATCCTATCTGATGCCGCTTTGACATACGAAAGTTTAGCTTCCATTCATCTGCAGGCACAGCCCCTCTAACGAAGTTGTCCCACCACTTGCTGGTCCGACCGGGTTTGACCCAAAACTTACGCTTATGGCGAACTTTAAAACGCCTAACGTTAACGTTACGATTGCTCTCCAAAAAAAGTATTGGGCGCAGCAGACGCCTCTGTGAGCTGCTGACTGGTGGATGTAATTGTATAAAATAAGATTCACTTTCAAGGCTGAAATTAGCCCCAAAAGGGCAAAACAAACGTAAAGAATAACCTGTATGTCCAACATCGTTTATTGTTTTTGTTTTTAATGCACATGCACGAGCTGCGGTTTGACGTCATCCATCCGTAAAAGTCCGACCACACGAATCCACTGCGGATACGGGATACGGATATTTTTTTATTTCTCCACTTGTTTTTCCGGATTCAGATTTATCCGGTTTGAGCGCTCCAAACTCCCGGTTTGGTGTGGTAGGGAGGCCTAATCGGACATAAATATGTGCGGTTTGAAATATATCCGCCTTCGTGTAGTTCGGGCCTCACCTGAGAAGGAGAGAGGAGGAGAGGAGAGAGAAGCAGAGAGAGAGAGAGCTCTGAAAACAAAGCCAACAGCGCCCTCTGCTGCACAGCTTTAACAGCACAGATGTTCAGAGAGTCTGAATCTTTGATGAAAGTTTCTCAGTGGAGCTTTAACCCGAGGTGGAGAGCTGTCATCTTCAACAACAAAAGTCTCCCCTACTGTACAGACTCAGACTGATCCAGAGTCAGAGGGTGTTTACAGACCGTTGTGATCTCAGAGCCGCTCCTCCTCCTCCTCCTCCTCCTCCTCCTCCTCCTCCTTCTTACTGTCTGTGTTTGTTTGTTCTGTAACTCAGAGTTTCTTGGTCCTTCTTCAGAGCTTCTTCTCCATACTCTGAGTCTGCAGAGACGTCCACTCACACAGACGCTGAAAGAGGACAGTCTACAGACTCAGTAGGAGTGTGGACTCTGAGACCGGGACTAAAACTGCCTCAGACAGGATCAGATTAAAGTCCCGATGACGTGTTTGAATCTTTTTTATTTTCACTTTCATTAAAGAGAGAAAAGAAAAACCCCTCAGGACGGACCGTCCACCTGAACGAGATTTTAATTACAGATCACAGTTTTTTTCAGTCTCTTAAACAAACTTCAGACTCACTCCTACAAACACGATAACTTTCTTCTCAAAAACACGTTTTCTTAAATATTTACTAACTCTTATTTCTAAATCAAACCTTCTTTCTCTGCTGTCACTAACTTCACTGAAACTCTGTAAATCTGAGAAAAACTCTTGTTTTCACTTCATCAGGTAAATACAGACGATCAAAGTTCACCAGGTTCAAAATACTGATTATTACTGACATGATAAAAACTACACAGACTTTAATGTTTCAGTTTGACAGGAAAAACATGAAATTCACCGTTTTTACTCTAAATTTCTTCACTGGGAACTTTGTGTCCACATGAAATCCAGAATCAGCTGTTTTGTCACCAGTTGACCCGACATAAACCATCTGTGTGTCGATGATTCAGTTGTTAGTTTCTGATCAGATTGATTGATTTTGATCTGGTCTCATTACAGCAGCAGAGGTTTTTATTCTGTATCTGAGGGTTAGAATATTGTTATTATGGGATGTTGTGAGTTAACATTCATAAATAAAACAGAAATCATCGTTTTGTTGGGAGGAAGTTTTGTGTAAATGTGTTCACTGACTGGATATTGAGTGAAAACGACATGAAGAGTGAACGGGAAACAGACCGATGCTGAGAGAGTTTAGAGTTTAGAGTTTAGAGTTCAGGACATGTGAAAACTGGTCAGACAAAAATATGGAAGTTTTTGATTTTTATTTTGTGACTCAGTCCACAGGGGGCGCTGCCGTCCTGTTTCCCTTGTGTGTCAGATTAGTTTCAGTCCGACTCTGAACAACATCCTCACATGTGAGAGAAGCAGCAGCAGCAGAGACTGCAGATGTTTTCCTCTCTCAAAGATAAAGTCGGTCAGGTTTTGTTACCGGGAGATGAATTCTCCTTTCAGGCCGACGACACCATCTCTCTGTCGGGTCCCGTGAAGCCGGAGAAGATGGTGTGTGGTCCGGGTCTGAGGCGGAGCGGAGACCGGCTGCTGGTGTGTAAAAGCGGAGTCCTCCGACACAAACCCCCCAACATGTTCTGGATGGACTCCCAGCAGAGGAGGGTAAACTCTCTTTACACTGTAAACATACACGTATTAATATTCATGTCTGCTCGGTGTTCATGTCTCTCTACAAAGTTTAAATCCTGTCCCTGATGTTTAGCGTGTAGGGGCGGCATGCGGAACTCCATTTTGAAAACCTGACATTTAAGGTTTTTATCTCCTTTACTAATGTACGAACAATGCGTCACAGTTTTTGGACTTCACTCACATTAATACACCACCTTATTGATTACGGCTCTAAGAAAATGTTCTCAAGCTGCTTTTTGTGCCTTCAAAGTTAAACTTTACTCTCTCAGTCTGCCGTTATCTTCTCTGTCCGCTGGAGGGCGCCAAGCTTTACAGCAGCGAGTAAAAGTTCCGATTATTGAGTGAAAAAGTTCCTCAGGTGATAAATACACTCCCCGAATTATTCACAAAACACCAAACATTTATCACATTTGTGTTTTTATTGTTTTTAAAAAAAAGCTTCATTGAAATTTACACTTTGTTGTTAAACTGAACAAAGTGTAAATGGAGTTCAGCAGTGAAACGCTTGTATCGTGATATATGTAAAAAGTTAGGACACAAGGATCCTAAAAGGGGACATTCCTGGTAAGTACAGGTGTAGCAGCAGTGCATCCTGGGATCTGAGTGTGTCTCTGTCCTCAGTATGTCCCTGTTAAAGGAGAGACGGTCATCGGCATCGTGACGGTCAAATCAGGAGACGTCTTCAAGGTGGACTTTGGAGGGAGTGAGCAGGCGTCTCTGTCCTACCTGGCGTTCGAAGGAGCCACCAAGAGGAACCGGCCCAACGTCCAGGTAGGACTCTGAGGACAGGAAGTCCAGGTGAGACACCGCTCCTGCCTGTTTACCTGACCCACCCCCCTCTGTGTGGTGTACCTGTGCAGGTGGGGGACCTGGTCTTTGCTCAGTTCTTGGTGGCCAATAAGGACATGGAGCCCGAGCTGGTCTGTGTGGACAGCGTGGGACGGGCCAATGGGATGGGGGTGTTTGGATCAGGAGGTCTGCTCTTCACCGTGTCTCTGGGACTCGTCAGGAGGTACGCTCATCCTCAGACTCTCATGCCCCCCCCCTCTGTCCCTCTCAGACTGTAATAACCCCCCCTCTCTGCCCCCCCCAGGCTCCTGGCCCCCCACAGTGACGTCCTGCAGGACCTGCAGCAGCTCTTCCCCTGTGAGCTGGTGGTGGGGATGAACGGCCGTCTGTGGGTCAAGTCCTCCAGCCTTCAGCGGACCCTCGTCATCGCCAACCTGCTGCAGAGCTGTGACACCATGACGGCCCCCCAGAGACAGACGCTGTTCAGGAGGGTGGCACAGGGGGCGCTGTAGACCCCGTCAGACCCTGTCAGACTGAAAACCACACCTGCAGCCGGTTGGGGTCTGTGTTGGGGGTGAAGCAGGTGAGCTCAGGTGTTCAGAGGGAATCCTGCAGGAGAGACTGAGAGACCTGGACCTGATCCCACAGACTCTCTGAACTCTGAGGGTCTCTGAGCCCGAGCAGATCCAGAACCAGGTTAGAAACAGAGTTCTTCTGTGACGTTTTCCATCAGGAAAATCGACGTCATGAATAAATTTTTGTTTAATTAAACTTCAGCCACGTGTTTAAATGTAAATGTTCTTTATTGATTCAGCTCTTTATAACGAGTCTTTCAGTGAACCGAAGAGCTTTAAAACAGAAAATAAGAATGAATACATAAAAAAGAATCAAATCAAATACATGTATAAAGTTTTTTAATTGAGATTTAAAAAGGTCCAGGTCAGACAGAAGTCTTATTTCAGTGTGAAGTTTATTCCAGAGTCTGGGACCAGCGACTGAAACGTCTCGGTCACCTCAGTGTTTGTGTTTTGACCTCCAGCAGAAGTTGATTTGACGACCTCAGAGCTCTACTCGGCTCCTGAATGGTTAAAAGCTCAGATAAATAGATGGAGGCGAGGCTTTTAAAAGAGCTTTAAAAACAAACATTTACAGTTTAAAATCGATCCTAAAAGAGACGAGAAGACGATGAAGGAGGCTGAGGACAGGAGTGATGTTCTCACGTCTGTTAGTGTTTAAAGACGGCAGCAGCATTTTGGAGAAGCTGACGGAGACGAAGAGATGAAAACATAAAGTGGATTACAATAGTCTCATCTTGAACCGATTAGAGCTTAGATGGTTATCTCAAGGTCGTGACGGCTTAAGAACATTATGACCTTGACCAGGAGACGAAGCTGGAGGAAACTAGTCCTGACAACATGATCGATTACTTTGTCAAACTTCAGTCTCGTGTTTAGAGACGGAAATCTGTTTAAAATGTTGGAAACATCAGAATTTGATCGTTTAACGTTTTGATTTGATTAAAACTGCAAAAACAAGAGAGAGGAGCGTGTTCAGAGTTAGAGAAGGAAGGGAGACAAGATGGCCGCAGGTGAACCACACGGCTCGGCAGGTTCTGCCGGTTCTGCCCCTGAGGCCACCTAGAATCACCGAAGAACCGCCTGTAACAGAAAAATGGAAGAGCGCCTCGGCACGAAGTTGGATCGTCGTTGTGTTCCTGCGCTTGTTGTCAATTAGACCGTGCTTTTTAGCTAACGCCGCCGAGCGCAGCCATCACCAGTGTATCGTTCTACTGTCTCAGTCATGTTGTTTGTACTTTTAATACTTTTATGTTTCACATCAACCTGACGATGGGACTGGGGAGGAAAATCAGCCATTTGGTTTTAATCCCACAGATTTACATGTAAATGTTCATCGATATGGACCGTTCCCATTTTTAAAAGATAAATAAAAACAACTTTTCAGAAGTTGAAACTGAAATTTATTTTATTTATTTAATTTCTGCTGATTTCATATTTGGTGCCTGTAGTCTCAGGTTCATGTTCCTCCTCATCGTGTGTCCTCAGCTGTTCTTCCTCCAACCCTCTGGAGACTTTAGAGGACCCAGCAGACCAGGTTCTAAAGACTTCAGAGGACCCAGCAGACCAGGTTCTGGACTCTGACAGTGGATTGTCGTCCCTTTTTGAGGCGGCTGTAGCTCAGGAGGTAGGGCGCTCGTCCAATAACTGGAAGGTTGGCGGTTTGATTCCCCCCTATCCTGAGTCTGTCCGTGTCTCCTTGGGCAAGACACCTAACCCCCCCTTTGTTCCCAGAGCTTTTAAGGGTCTCTGATAAAGCGCTGTAGGAAATCTGATGCATTATTATTAGTAGGAGTATTTTTGTTGTTATTTATTATTATTATTAAAATTATTATTATTAGTAGTATTAGTATTTTTGTTATTTATTATTATTTTTTTTATTGTTTTTATTATTGCTGTTATTATAATTAGTTTTATTTATTATTATTAGTAGTAGTAGTATTATTGTTATTATTATTTATTAGTATTATTAGTTTTATTATTATTATTATTATTAGTTTTATTATCATTATTAATATTATTATTATTAGTAGTAGTAGTATTATTGTTATTATTATTTATTAGTATTATTAGTTTTATTATTATTATTATTATTATTATTATTAGTAGTAGTAGTAGTTTCTTTCTGTCCTGATGGAGGACCTCAGCTGCTCCACAGTTCAGGGTCTTCTCGGTCACGTTTTTTTGGGTCATAATTCTCCAAATGTTTTCGGTCAGAACCGGGTCAGTCCAGTTCCTCAGCAGGACTCTCCTCCTACAGAGTCCTGCTGTTGTCGTCCCTGAATGTGGTTCAGGGTCACATGAGGGTCTTTCCCTCAAACAGGAAGTTTTATTTTTTTTTTTTATGTTTGAGGTTTTTTTTATGACTGAAAGGATAAAAACAGACAAACACTGACGGAGGTTTTCTCCATAAACATTTATTTTCAAATAGATTAAGAAAAAATAGATTTTTTTACAACGTTTTTCTTTATATGACTTTTTATACAGTACTTTATGTGCATTTAGAAAAACTGACTAACAAACGAACAAACAGCAGTTAACGAGGCAGCAGAGAGCCGGAGCTCTGACAGGCAGCACGCTCTCAACCACAAAGGATGCTGGGAAAACATGGAGAAGTGCAGGTATCAAACACCAGAATGAATGACTGGATTTGAACCGGATCAGACCGGATCAGACCGGATCTAAACTCTGAATTAAAAGTGAACACAAAGTTTGTTTTTCGGCTTTTTTCTAAAAGTGCAAATAAAAAGTGTCAGAGTGAGACATCAGAGCTGTTCGGAACACACACCAGTTTGTTCTGAGACACACACACACACACACACACACCAACACTCTCAGCTGATTTACATTCAGAGAGCTGCACACACACACACACACACACACACACACACAGGTAAACACGGACAGGTGAAAGCTTCAGTAACTATGGTAACGGGACTTTAGTTGAACACATGCGAGGCGAGCGCAGAACTTTGGCAACACGTCAGGCTGAAGGTCGAGTGGCGGCTGAAAAATACGGCAGACATCTTGTTGATGATGTCACAGTGCGGAGTGAGGCAGGGTGGGGGGCGGAGCCAGACGGGGTCACATGATGTGTTTCTTGATCCCCGGGATGAACTCCTTGGCGTTTGGGTTGAGACTGCTGTTGACCTGACGGAGAGAAGAGAGACAGAGTGAGACATCCTCAGGTGTGTGTGCGTAGAACATCTCTGTGAAGATCTCTGAAAACTTGACTTCAACTTCGTCAAACTCCGATTTTTCTCTGCAGGAGGGACCGAGAAGTCTGCGAGAGTCCAGACCGTCTCTGGACTGATGTGGATCAAACCCTGACCCAGACTGTCTGAGTCTGTTCAGACACCTGTGCAGGTAAATCTCAGGATTCAGATTCATTCGGACATTTTCAGTTAATCTGCTCGACTGAAATCTGATCATATAAAGGAGAGAGATCTAGTCCCTCCACCTGGTCCTGGGCCGGCCACGAGGTCTCCTCCCGGTGGGACATGTCTGGAACACCTCTAACGGGAGGCGTCCAGAAGTCCGCGCCACCTCAGCTGACTCCTCTGGACATGGAGGAGCAGCGGTTCTCCTCTGAGCTCCTTCCCCTATCTCTAAGGCTGAGCCCGGACACCCTGAGGAGGAAACCCATTTCAGCCGCTTGTATCTGCGATCTTGTTCTTTCGGTCATTACCCAAAGTTCATGACCATAGGTGAGGATCGGCACGTAGATCGACCGGTAAATCCAGAGTCTCTCCTTACGGCTCAGCTCTTTCTTCACCACCACTGATCGGTTAAACGTCCGCATCACTGCTGACGCCGCTACGATCCGCCTGTCGATCTCCCGCTCCATCCTACCCTCACTCTTGAACAAGATCCTGAGATCCTTGAACTCCTCCACCTGAGGCAGGACCGCCCCTCCAACCTGGAGAAGGTGATCTACCTTTTACTGACTGAGGACCATGACCTCGGACTTGGAGGTTCTGATTCTCATCCCAGCCGCTTCAGACTCGACTGCGAACTGCCCCAGCAAGAGCTGAAGGTCACTGCTCTACGAAGCTAGAAGAACCACATCATCTGCAAAAAGCAGCGACGCGATCCTCTACCTGCAGAACTGGACACCCTCCACCCCTAAAGTTCTGAACAGAACCGGTGACAAAGGGCAGCCCTGGAGGAGAGTCCAACTCTTACAGCCGTCTACACGGACCAAAGGAACCTTAATAAGGAACCCTCCACCCCGTACTCCCAGAGCACCACCTTTCCCAAAACAGCAAAAACACGTGAACCACGGTGAAGACCGAACACATCTCATTTGACCCTTTAAACCCTCCGATTGGCCCCGCCTCCTTCACAAATCTAACATTTGATTCTCCTTTAATATTTGTGAAGTTTAACTCTTAGAAGTCCGCTGGATCGATCCCACAGGACAACATGACTATAGTTTTCAGTTTCTCAGGATCTACACCGTGTGTCTCTACGGGATCAAAAGTCTTCAACAGTTTACTCTTTAGTCGATCTATCGAGAGTTTCCAGACGTTTCTACACCTGCCACAAGATTTACAGTCCAGCCACAGAAACAGGAGTTTGATCAGAGACGTTTGATGGTGAATCCGCAGTGATATACGGTGAAAACAGGATTATTGATCAGATTGATTCATGTGTTTTTTGAGCAGAGTCCTGTTAGGATCAATCTCCTTGATTGATTTCTGGTTGACTTTGATGATTCTGAATCATTTTTGCTCCACAGACTGACAGCTGAGGTCGTCCTGAAAATAAAGACATGATTATATATAGGCCTGCACGATATATCGTTTGAACATCGTCATCGCGATGTACGTGTGTGCGATAGTCACATCGCAGAACCTGCGATATTGGAGGTGAATGAACTCAGTTAATTTCAAGGGTAACTGACTGAGATACACTCCATGTGACTCTGCATGTGCTGTGCAGCGATCCACCAATCACCTTCGTTCTTTACTCAGTTGCCAATCAGACTACCCTGCCAGCTGTCAATCAAAATCAGGGAGGAGAAAACCCACCCCTGCACATGTTCTGCACATGGAGGGAGACGTGTGTCCGCTGAGAATTACTTTCGGAACTTTACTGACTGTTAAGCCCAACAAATAAGAACTGTATGGGTTTTAAATTGTACATTTCCGTGGACCACTCTACTATAAGCGGTGCGTGTTTTGCGAGGTGCATGCAATTCTCGGAGGACATGCGTTTCTCGGCACAACACCGCTAACAACAACAACAACGATCGCAAAATGAACAACGAACAAGCGAAAACCACCGAAAATGAAGATTTGTTGCCAAAAAGAAAAGGAAAGTCAGTTATCTGGAATTATTTCGGTTTAAAGAAGGATGATGTCGACCAAAACACGTCTTCTGTGTTCATCTGTTTCCACAATAACGTCCCAGCACAATAAAAACTAAAAATATCTCTGAGACAGACAGAAGCCGTTCTACTAACATTCACAAAAAGAGGTAAGATCAGAGCAGATTAACTGTCCTCAAGATTTCAGCAGTGCAGCATAACATTAAATGATATTCAGGTCATCTGGTGAAAATACTGTATTTTTAATATCGCAATATATATCGCAGGGTTGAAAAAAATCGCAATATTATTTTTTTCCAATATCGTGCAGCCTTAATTATATATTTACTGTGATTGAAACGATCGAGGTGATACAGAAACAGGCGGACCAAAAACAGAAAATACAGCTGAGAGGTCGAAGGGTGAACCCCTCCTGTCCTGTTTGTTGGTGTTTATGAGGGCGTGAAGGTCACTGTGAGGTCAAATCCTGTTGGTGTCCTGGTACCAGTCCCTGTGGTACACCACTTGACTGTTTATCACGTCATATCATCAACATGACCCCCAGGATGGTTTGGACCACAGTTATGAATCACATCAGTGTTAGAACCAGGGCGGTTCTGTCTGGGGGTCCTCCTTTGAGTCTAAAGTCCTGATCATGTTCAGACCCCGAGACCTGAACCAGAAAACAACCTCTGAGCAGTCGCCGCTCTTCTGTAAGAAGACGTTGTTATTCGGTCCCTGAGTGAGACGCATTTCTGTTAGAGATCGTAATTTGGACCCCAAACAGCAGGTGGAGCTGTAAGCCCAGATGTGAGGCCCCAGTTCTCAGACTGTCTCAGAGTCCTTCATGTGAAAACAGGACCAGCAGATCCAGACTGGAGTGAGGAGCTCTACTGTTAGTCTTTCAGGACGTCAGAATCTGAACGAGGACAGGGTCGAACCTCGGTGAGCTACAGAACTGTTCTCAGTTTCTGATTGGCCAACGCAGACAGTGAACTCACCACGATGTCAAAGTCTGCGTCTGCGTGCACGTCTGCGTCCAGGACCAGCAGGCTGATCTGGTCCTGCAGCTGACTGACGGTCTGAGCGGGGAGGTCTCTGGACGGGATGAACCACTCCCACTGCTCCTCCTCCTCCAGCAGCTCCTGAACGCAACGCTCAATAAACTCCTCCTCCCACAGCTCCTCCTCCACCTGCAACACACACACACACACACACACACACACACACACACACACACACACACACACATCAAAGGAGGCTGAGAGGAAGTCCGGTCTCTGGAGGATCAGGACTGAAGACATTTTGATGTTAATTCAGACGTCATAAAGTCACTGGAGGGTGACGCATGTGCGTAGAAGCCCCGCCTCTTCATTCCTCACATCTCTGGTGGGCGGGGCTAAGACTGATTGGCGTGATTGTTTTAAACAGACTTGCAGAGCTCGTCCTTCAGGCTCTCTCTCAGACTTTTAGGTTTTAATCTTTCATGAAACACGAGATCATTGAGAGTTTTCATCTTCACCATCACTCTCTTTTCAACCTCTTTATTCCTGTTTTTTTACCTTTTCATAGTTTTCATTTCTGTCGGTCTCTTTAAAATCTTCTGTCCGTGTTTATTTGGTGTCGTATTTTTTTACAGAGAAAAATTAAAGCGTCATGAAGAGTCAGTGAAGCAGCATCTGTCACTAATTTTAATCTCTGTATTCAAAAGGTAGAAGAGTAATACTATATTTGTTTTATTTAAAGAGGATGACAGTCTAATACATATTTTTAATCAATATACTTTAATCAGATTCATGTCTTAATGTTTTGCGTGTGTCTGATTGCAGTTTCGTTCTCCTGAATATCTCATGATATCTCTTTTTTTAATCCCTGAATTATCTTTAATCTGAGGTCATCTGTCAGCTGGTTCGAGCTTCATCTGAGGCGAGATCACGGCCAAAACAACCGCCCTCTGTCCAACAGGTCAGATGATCCGCACTGCGAGTCTACATGAAATCGTTTCCTGATTGGTTCTGATCAGAGTCCGTGAGTAAAAATATTCAGACGGGTTCACTTCAGACAGGTTCGTCTGACAAACTCTGACACGGCAGCGAGGACAAATCAGAAACATTTTTCAACCCGAACTTTGGGGAAACGTCCCAGAATAAAAACTGAAGCTTTAACTGGAGGAGATGGAGCAGTTTACTTTAACACCAGTCGAACTTTTCTTTTTGCCTGAATCAGTGAAAATGTGACCCTGAATTAACCTTCAACACCTCGTTTTCAAGATCCAGGACAATATTAAAACACCTGGAATACACTACCAAACACAGCAGGTGAACTCCGGACTCTGACCTCCTTTACCGAACATCTTAAATCTGTTAGAACAACAACTCTGTCACCACAACCTAAACTCTTAATCAGCCCTTTATCGACTAACTCTGTCAGTTATCACGATGTTTCTCGCTCCTCTGTACTTCTCATCGTTTCCTTTTCTTTCTTATTTTCTGTCCTTCTGTGTTTTCAGGGACATGTTCTCTCTCCCCGTAGTTCCTCCTCCCCGACTACTTTTTGTTGTTTTCTTGATTTTCTTATCTCTGTTGACGACGTCGACCTGCCAAAGAGACTCAAGATGGAAATCAGCCTTCGTCTATAATCTTCTTATTTACATGTTTATGTTCATTAATATACTGTCTCTGTTTTAAATCAAATAAATCCTAAATCCTGAAACACCGAATGGATCAATATTTATCGATATTGAGTATCAGTGGAAGGCAGACAGACCTGAATATGTTTGATTATTGATTCTGGGAAACCTGACCTGTAAAGAGAACCGGTGTTAGACGGACTGAAATGATCAAACCATGTTTCTTTTTCAATGATAACACCTGTTTACGCCTCCTGTCGTGAGTCAGTCAGGGGATTTTTTACATGTAAACAAAGGGAGTGAAAATAAACAGATCCTGCTGTTTCTAAAGTAGGGGAGACTGGGGTAAGATGAGCCTCGACGTTCCCCAGTCTCCCCTACTGTGAAGACACAGACTGATCCAGATTCAGACGGTTGTCATGTCTTTAATCTCTTTTCTCTTATTTCAGCTTCACCGTCTTTTTCTCTTTTGTTATTCTTCTTCTCTTTTCTTCTTTCACCTTTTATTGTTTTATCTCTCACTCACTTCTCCCACGTTCATGTCCTGACCTCGTTTCTGTCTGTGTTGTGGACCCTCACCTGTCTGTGGACCCTCACCTGTCTGTTGAACTCCTCCTCGTTCTCCATCCACAGGTACTCGGCGAAGGGGTCCTCCTCGGAGATGAACTGGTTGCTGAGGATGACCTCGTTGCTGATGGTCTCCATGTTGGAGTTGATGTTGTTTAGACGCGGGTCTTTCATGGTTCTCCTGTTCCCCGGACTGGATCAGACCTGCGGAGGAGGACAGAGAAGAGAACACCTTTAACTTTCAGCTCTCTCTCTCTCTCCCTCTCCCCCCCTCTCTCTCCCTCTCTCCCACCTCTCTCCCCCCCTCTCTCTCCCCTCTCTCTCCCCCTCGCTGTGATGGCCGCTGACTCCACCGTCAGTTCACCCTGAACCCTCGGTAACCGCAGACTGACGCGGCCTCAGAAACAGACACTGAAACATTAAAACCCCTCAGACTGACCGGAGGAGGTGAAATACCGTGTTTTAAACTCACAGTTAGCCCAGACTCTGCTGTTTCCCCTCGGTTCAGGACCAACGGTCAACTCTGTGTCGAACTCTCCTCAAGTGTAATGGCCGCGCTGACTCTGTTTGTTTACATCCAAAACGTCACTCCGTGCTCGCTTCTGATTGGATAAACCGCCCTGCTGCTTTCACGTCACACATGACCTACTTCAACTGAACGAGCCGAGACGGTCGGAAATCAGGAACTCCGTGAACCTGAGGTATTTCTGAACATTTCTGCGGTCAGTCCATGACACCGTTCATATTTATAAGGATTAACCCGAGAACACTAACATTACTAACACTACCAGGTGATTTTTACCGGAGATAATATACCCAAGAAAAACTTCATCTCATCAAAATAGGACAAAACATGACAAATTAAAGTGGTTTTCTTTTATTTTTTATTACTGTGTGATGTCCGCTCCAGAGAATCCCCTCTGATCCGGATTTTCCGAGTGTCCATGAAGGCAGCACTGAAGTCTCGTTCCTGAAGTCCCGCCTCTTCGTCCTCTTCACTGAACAAACTGTACCACGGCAGAAAGATTCATCAGGACCGAACAAAAGCTTTCTTAACCGCATTAAACGACCGTATCAACTGAAAAGGGAAGGAAAACTAACCACAGACAGCGGTTAAATAACGTAAATGCCTAATTTTAACCACATCTCGTGTTCAAAGACAAACATCGCGATAGTTGAGTCCAACGAATGTTGCAGCTCTTGCAGCTTTTGCTAACGAACAGACACGCAGTGGTAAAACTAAACAAAATATCAGGTAAGACTTGCACTCTTTACTTACACACTTTTACATTTAGTGAAATTCAATATTTGACACGAAACTGTCTTCAACTAAAGGTTCGTTTATGACAGAATCGGGAGAATTAAGGCGGGTTACTGAGGGACGTTAGCTGTTAGCAAACTAAGGTTCAGTATGAGTTGTTGTAGTTTTTATGAACTATAAATGTATCTAACCTGAATCTTAAAGGTTTCTTTATCAGCACAGGTGTGTGTTCACTCTGCGGGTTAAAGACAGACTTCATTAGTGGATCTAACAGACAGTTTCTCTTATTTTCCTCTTTAAACATGAACATTTACAGAGAGGCTGAGTCCGCTTCCTCTCAGCGGACACTCCTTTAGTCCTTTATTGTTCTCTTAGAGTCTTAAGACACTCTTTTAGTCTCTTATTGTCCTTTTTTTGAACATATTTAGGTTTTATTTCCATTTGCCACTAGGGTTGGGTATCGAGAATCGAGCATCGATGGGATCGGGTCTAACATTTCGATTCTTCCGGTATCGTTCAAATTTTAAAATTTCGATTCCAAGTATTGATGCCGGAGTCCGCCGACCAGAAGAAATTGTCGCTGAACACCAACGAAGAAGAAGCCGCCGAACACCAACGAGGACGTGTTGGGCGGCTTCTTCTTCGTCGGTCAAAAGTTTGTCGAAGTTTATCAGGAAGAATGAACTCTTCTCTCAGAGCAACATTAGAAACACAGTTATATCCTGTAAAGGAGGGTGAACGACCAACAAGATTAAACACTCAGGATTCATGGAGGAGAAAGACCTGAGTGTCCGTCTTTGACGCACTTCGCCGGTGTTGTGTCGTAGAATGGACCCCTGATGGGAGCGCGGCTGAAAGTTCGTAACAAGACGAAATAATCCAAGTTTCAAATGATTTCATTCAGAGTCTTCAGGTTAACTGAAAACAACAGTCCTCTGATTCAGAATATTTACTGTCCTGAAAATATGAAGTTCTTTACTTTGACAGTTTACTGTAGAGTTTATAGACCAAAATTCACCTCTGTATGTGTATTTTAGAGACTCATAAAAACAGAACGACAGTCTGCTGCTCCATCTGACATGTTGTCATGATCTAATACTCATGTTTTTTTATCATGAGATCATTTTCTTCCACTTTAAGAAGCTCATGAGTGGAGGGGATAGATTCTACGGCACAACAACGGTCAGAAAAGTGAAACAATAAATGACTTCTGTCCTCTGCTAACATTAAAGCATCAAACAATTGTACTGTGTACGGAGGGTCAACTTAAACATCCAACTAACGTTAGCCTTCGTACTTTTTCACAGACAAACGACCTGACAACAAAAACCGGTATTTATATACTGGTTGAAAATGTGAGAAATTCAGAGTAAAGTTCATAAAAAGTTCATATGATTTAAAAATTCATGGAGAAGTTCAGAAATTTCATCCAAAAAGAAGAAGAGCTCTGGTTAACATCCTCATTTAAACCATGATTTTTTAAACATCCCGCCTTTTAAAAGAATCGAACTAGAGAATAGATCGGAATCGGAATCAAAATCGGGATCGTTCAAAATCAAACGATACCCAACCCTATTTGCCACAGAGAACAACAATTCATTTTCTGTATAAACATAAATTACACAAAATAATAAACACAAAATCAGAGTCACACAAGGAGAAAAAAAGAAGAAATATAAATAGATAAATATATATCACCCACTGTGCACAGACTTGTGGGTGTCCTCCATCTCAAACCATTTTCACATAATTTTTCCAATAATTGTTCTAATTCCTTTTTCAGTTCATTAAAAAACAAAAATAAGTTTCATACTGAAAACAGTAATATAACTCATTAGGTCCCTATTAAAGGTGGATAATTGTGGTCGCCCTGTTTACACAAATATCCAAACTCATCCAAACTACGGTTCATAAAATATCTCTTCTCCCCTGATAAAGAAGGTAAATTAACACACAGTATAGAAAAGATAAGGTGTCACATATTTGGCCTTAGTAAACCTCGGTCCAAAGTTAGCAACTAATGTACAAACACAAATTCACACATGTGCCATCGTTTACATAAAACAAAATTAGTAGGTAAAGGAAATAAACCATCTCGTACTAAGGCTCATTTCTTCTAATCTCTCCATTAACCATTTAAATATCCTGGATTTGGTCAATAAGTAAATATAAGTATAGAGAGTTCAAGTTGATGGTTTGAAATAGACAATTTTAGGGTTTCATCTTCTCAGAAATCCGTCAGATTTTAATTGTATTTGATCTGTTTTCCATTGAGCAGGTAGACATGATCTTTTTATGCTATTGTTGTATTGTGGGTGGATGTGGGTTGCGCCAAGACGAGGTCCTCATCCTCCTTCCTATCAGTCAAAGTGTATGTAATATATATGTTTTTCTGGTTATTCACCAAGCCCACTGGGGTCAAGCCTATAATAAAGTACCCGGGGTCGAGATTGAAGTCAGTGTCTAGTATGGATAGTATCTCTAATTGGATACTTTTCCAGTAAGGTTTTAATTTTGGGCGTTTCCAGAAGTTGTGAATGATCTCCAATGAGTTTGCAGTCTCTCCAACATAAGTGTGTTGTTGTTCTTGTAGAGTCTTAAGACGGTGAAGTTTAACCATCATTTCTAGATAAAACCACGTCTTTCCTCTCTGTCCTCCTCCCTCCTGGTCTGAGGTGATCTGTGAGTCTGCAGGGACTCTCCTCCTCCTCCTGTCTCCTTTCCTGTCTTTCTGAATTCACCTCTCATCTCTTCTCACAGCTTACACCTGCTCAGGTGACTGTTAGGGAATCACGTCACTTCCTTACCTGTGCTGCAGGTGTCGCTGTGGTTCAGTGTCTCTGCCTCCTTCTGTTTCAACAGAACTCAGACGCTCAGCAGAGAAGAGGAGTTCAGCCACGCTCGCAGTTTATTCTTAACAAAGACTTCTACTTAAACACGGACACTTTGCCCCGCCCCCGGCTTCCTTCTTGTTCTTGACCACCCCGCCAGAGAGCGGCTCCACTTGGTGACCTCATGTCTCAGAAGGCGCAGTCAGACGGCGGTGAAAAACACTTCGCCGTGGGTCGGGGGCTCCTGGCCGCCGCAGAAACTTTAAACTTCAGTATGAACGAGCAGCGATCCGGCCGGCAGATGGGGGGCATGGCCTCTGGTGTGGGGGTGGGTGGTGGCGGTGCTGGTGGCGGCATGGAGGGTCATGACAGCGGCTCGTCAATGTCCCGGCTTGGTGGCGGCAGCCATCTTGGCAGTACCATGAAGCTTTTTGCCAGTTTAGGGCTGTCGCCCTCTGACCTGGACGCTCTTGCTGAAATCCCTGAGGAGGACATCAGCGTGGAGACGCTGCCGCACATCATCAGGCAGCTCAAGAGCCGCAAAGGAGACGCGGGGGAGCGTAGGGGTGTGTCCTCCATGTCCTCTGAGGCCACCTATCAAGGAGGAAGAGAAAGCTGGGATGATGTGACCATGGGGAGGATGGGGGGTCCTTCTCTAGGTCAGGGTTCAGCCCGGGCCCAATCCTCTGCAGACTTTGGCTTCGGTTCCCTGCAGCAGGACGCTCCCAGCCGAAGTTACGGCCTGAACTTCGGCGGCGGCGGCAGCGGGGGCGGGAGCAGGGAGAGGCCATATTCTGAGCTTTCCCACCACGATTCGTACGGCGGGATCGGCTTGGGCCCATCGTCCTCCGACCCCATCTTTATGCCCAGGAGGATCGGCCCCCCGCCACACAGAAAAGTCCAAGACTTCTTGGGAGTTCTGCCCCCCGTTTTCCCCCATCTGTGCTCTCTTTGTGACTTTGACGTGCGCTCCATCATGGTGAGTACCTTCCCGACTCCTCCTCCTCCTCCTCTTCTTCTTTTCGGACTAACGTATAAGTTTCAGGTCAGACTCTGGATCTTCTGTCCTCTTCAGTCAGCAGCAGGTGGTAACCGTCCCTCATGTCTCCAGTTTGAGTCCTTGATTAAAATCACCTTAAAACGTGTTTCTTGAGGTTCTCATACCTGAAGCTCTGCAGCAGCAGAACGTAGTCCGATTCGGCCTCTTCAGCCACCGTCAAACATCTGTAAGCCGTAGTCTCGCCTCCAAATTCAGCTCTTGTCAGAACTTCTCTTCATGTCAGCTAGATAAGTCATTCACAGCCTTTACTTCAGAAACTGTAAAACACTAACGTAACTGTAAAGTCCAGATCGACTTGTTGTGGACCAGTCCTCACTCTTGACACGATGGCGTCTCATCTCCTACGACTCCTGAACCTCTTTTTTTGTTTGACTTTATTTTTTATGAACATATTCAGTTTTTCAAAATACTTGTAAAGAGTGAAACAAAGAAAGAGAAGT